CCAAAACGGACTCAGAAAAGTAATAATTTGTGCCAGGAAATCCCTAATATGGACAAAAGCATCCAGCTATCGCTGTAGCTAAGCTGAATAAAAAATATGAAGACAATACATGCACGATTGCGACAGTATATGGTTTATGTGTGTTTTTTCAAGTCATCTCCAGTTAATAAATAAAGCATCTAAATAATGTAGTGCTAACTGGCATAGCATTTATTGCAGTAGCCTATAGAAACTACAAAATATAGTATATTTTCTGCCTTATTTTGTGATAAAAATGAAAAAAATCTAGATCTGCCAGTACTGAGACTCAAACCCACAACCTTCAGGTTACAAGTCCAGCTCGCTAACCATTAGGCCACAACTGCCCCCACTCACAGCCATGCAATACATTACAGTATTACATTACTCCCCAAAAAAGTAACTAATTGCGTTAGTTACTTTTTATGGAAAGTATGCATTGCATTACTTTTTCACACCCAGGCTGGGCTTCTATTTTTGGCAAAAGTAAAATGAATGAGCCTCAGGCTGAAGGAAACTGACTCTGCCACATCAGACGGCATCTTTATTAGATGACACAATGACTGTCTGGAACTGGATTTGTGTTTCTAAGTTCATTCACGTGAATCACGTCACTGCGCTCGAAAATGACTGTGTTATCTTAGTTTCACAAATTCATCTCAAAACAAACGTTTTGCCCAAACATTCAGGTTTTAGGTTAAACTTTGATGTGCAGTGACTCTGAGAGATCGATAAAAGTCTGAGATTAGGATTTAAATTCATATTTAATAGGGACAAATAGCACATATTTGAGATTGTCCAGTATTTGTGTATCAGTACACTGCAAAAATGACTTTCTTTCAGTACAAACGTCCTTAAATCAAGATACATTTCATTCAGAAGCAAGTAAGATAAACAATATTAAGGTATTTTTTTTAAATTAAGCAAATTTTTGTTTAAAACAAGAACCAACAAATATCTGCCAATGGGGTTAGAAAAATATTTTCCAATGAATTTTCTTTTTCCATTATGTTTTTTTGACCCCAATGGCATTTATTATACATTTTTCTTTAAAAAAAAAAAGACGCTACCATTGATATACTACCATTCAAATGTTTAAGACAAGTAACATTTAAAATGATAATAATAAATAAATAAATTAATAGTTTTATTGATCAAGTGTGCATTAAATTGATCAAAAGTGACAGTAAAGACCAGTGTTGGGGAAAGTAATGCATTACAATATTGCTTTACTCCCCCAAAAGTAACTAATTACTTTTTATGACTAGTAATGTGGTATGTTACTACAATACATGGGAAACAAAGAAACTGCCATTACTTATTTGAAAAAGTAGCACAGATATTTTCTTGCAAATTGAAAAGTAATGCGTTACTTTAATAGTTACTTGAAAAAATGATCTGATTACGTAACGCGTGTTATTTGTAATGCGTTACCCTCAACGTTATGATTTCAGATAAAAACTCATAATTACGAGGATAAAAGTCTGAATTGCGGGATATAAACTCAGGAAGTCATTTTCCGGGAATGTTAAAGGTTCTTTATGGAATCATCAGTGTCAGTAAAGAGCGTTGATTTCTAAGAGTGAATAAAAGAGATGCTTTCAGGATTACACGTGACCTTTGATTTGTGTCTCTAGCTGATTTAAAAAGCAGAAGAACTGGTTTCTGTTCCTCTCTCTTCTAACGCTTCTTTTTTTAGTTTACACTAGCAGGAGGTTTCCACGTTATGGAATGTGGAAGCATAATCATACCTGCTTCAACACGTCACTGACAGATAATCCCATCACATACGCTGGAGAACATCACGTCACCTGCCATGAAGAGTTTCCACAGACGCTTCCTGATCAGGAATTCAACACAAAACATTAAAGCTGCACGTTAATCACAACCACATGCAAAAGAGTAAATATGCAGTTTGCATGTGAGGACACGGGAGGCACAGTATTTGAATGCATCACTGACACTGAGACATCAGCCTGTCTGTCTCTGTCTGTCTGTCTATCTTTCTGTCAAGTCAAGTCACCTTTATTTATATAGCGCTTTTAACAATACAGATTGTGTCAAAGCAACTGAACAGCATTAATTAGTGTGTCAATAATGCAAAAATGAAAATAGTAAACACTAATTTTTCAGTTAAAGGCAGGCCATCATTGAATTCAGTGATGTCATCATCAGTTCAGTTTAAATAGTATCTTTGCAATAATTTGCAATCAAGTCAACGATATCGCTGGAAAATTGCCAGAGTTTTGAGAACGCAGCGGACGTGGAGGACTATAATGTAACAAGAGCTCGTTCAAATACTGAGGTGCTAAACCATTCAGGGCTTTATAAGTAATAAGCAAGATTTTAAAATCTATACTATGTTTAATAGGTAGCTAGTGCAGTGTTGACAGAACCGGGCTAATATGGTCATACTTTCTGGTTCTAGTAAGAACTCTAGCTGCTGCATTTTGGACCAGCTGGAGTTTGTTTATTAAGCGTGCAGAACAACCACTCAGTAAAGCATTACAATAATCTAACCTTGAGGTCATAAACGCATGGATTAACATTTCTGCATTTGACATTGAGAGAATAGGTCGTATTTAGATATATTTTTGAGATGGAAAAATGCAGTTTTACAAATGTTAGAAACGTGGCTTTCAAAGGAAAGGTTGCTATCAAATAGCACACCTAGGTTCCTAACTGATGACGAGGAATTGACAGAGCAGCCATCAAGTCTTAGACAGTGTTCTAGGTTTTTAGGTCCTATAATTAACACCTCTGTTTTTTCAGAACTTAGCATTAAGAATCCATCAGTTTTTTAAAAAACTGCAATCATCGAGTTTTTTATATTGACTATGCATTCCGTTCGTTTTTCAAATTGGTATGTTTTGTCGGGCCGCGAAGAAATATAGAGCTGAGTATCATCAGCATAACAGTGAAAGCTAACACCGTGTTTCCTGATAATATCTCCCAAGGGTAACATGTAAAGCGTGAAGAGAAATGGTCCTAGTACTGAGCCTTGAGGTACTCCATACTGCACTTGTGATCGATATGATACCTCTTCATTCACTGCTACGGGAGATTCGAGATTGGTCTGTAATTAACTAGTTCTTTGGGGTCAAGTTGTGGTTTTTTAATGAGAGGCTTAAAGGGATAGTTCACCCAAAAATGAAAATTCTGTCATTATTTACTCACCCGCATGTCGTTCCAAACCCGTAAGACCTTCATCTTCCAAAGAACGTAAAACGTTCCTCTTCGGAACACAAATTAAGATATTTTTGAAGGAATCTGAGAGCTCTCTGACCCTCCCATAGACAGTAAGGTCACCCTAGCGCCATTTTGGAGAGTATCCACTGAACGTGTCCAAGGGTGACGTGGAAGAGATGAATTGTTGAATTACGGTTGAAACCCTGATGTCACATGGATTATTTTACAGATGTCCTTGCTATGTTTCTTGGCCTTGATTGTGTAAGGACCCTTGCTGTCTATGTGAGGGTCAGAGAGCTCTCAGATTCCATCAAAAATATCTTAATTTTTGTTCCGAAGATGAACGGTGGTCTTACAGGTTTGGAACGACACGAGGGTGAGTAATTAATGACAAAATTTTCATTTTTGGGTGAACTATCCCTTTAATAACAGCCAGTTTGAAGGTTTTGGGGACATATCCTAATGACAATGATGAATTAATAATAGTCAGAAGAGGATCTATGACTTCTGGAAGCACCTCTTTTAGGAGCTTAGATGGAATAGGGTCTAACATACATGTTGTTGGTTTAGATGATTTAACAAGTTTATACAATTCTTCCTCTCCTATAGTAGAGAATGAGTGGAATTGTTCCTCAGGCGATCTATAGCAAGCTATCTGATATGATACTATAGCTGACGTCTGCGTGGTTACAATTTTATCTCTAATAGTATCGATCTTAAAAGTAAAGTAGTTCATAAAGTCATTACTGCTGTGCTGTTGGGAAATGTCAACACCTGTTGATACTTTATTTTTCGTTAGTTTAGCCACTGTATTGAATAAATACCTGGGGTTTAGATGATTTAACAAGTTTATACAATTCTTCCTCTCCTATAGTAGAGAATGAGTGGAATTGTTCCTCAGGCGATCTATAGCAAGCTATCTGATGCGTTACTGTAGCTGACGACTGCATGGTTACAATTTTATCTCTAATAGTATCGATCTTAGAAGTAAAGTAGTTCATAAAGTCATTACTGCTGTGCTGTTGGGTAATGTCAACACCTGTTGATGCTTTATTTTTCGTTAATTTAGCCACTGTATTGAATAGATTAGGCCAAGCTTTATAATTTGTTTCTCTGTATTATATAAATTTTTTATCTGTTGAACATTAATTAAATTGTTACTCTTAAATTGGTTTGGATGTTCTTTTGTATTTTCTAGTTCGGGGAACAGACACAGTCTCTATAGTGTGATATCTAGGTGAAAGAGTTTCTATGTGCTGAGAATGAACTGATTTCTATGACATGAGGCGGCTAGCAGACGGTCGGTTTAGCCAGTCTATCTGACAACTTCAAAGTTTGTTCACAAACTTTACTCATCTAGTTTTTATTTCATTTTTAGTTGTATGCATTTTAGTACTTCAACTTCACTTATTTTATTTCAGTTAGCTGCCAGTTAATTTTTTCATCTATTTTTTATTCCAGTTTTATTTAAATTAACAAAAAGTTTTTTTTTTAATAGATTTAGTTAACAGTAACTACATTATAAATGATCCGATCAGACTTTGTCAACCCAATATTAATGTCTCGATGAACTCCCTTCCTAGTTGAAACTTCAAGTTTGTTTCCACAGCTGTGCTTTTCCAAATGCATTCTTGACTGTGAAATTTGAATAAATAAATGCAATACAAAACTGCTCGATAGTACTCTTATCTTGCCTAAAATATGACAGCAGACGCATTTCAGGTAAATCAAAGGAAAACCCTAGAGACAGAATATATTTCACATCCGCTCTTTTCACTGTCTTTAATGAGCTGTTTTGTAGTCTGATACAGTTTGGTCAATAAATAGAGAACAATCTTTCAATGCAAAACCAATATTAAAAAAATCATCTGTATTATTTACAAAACAGTGGAGTCTAGTGCAACACAGCAAGTGAAATTTATTGACAGGACAGACTGTAAAGTGCATGAGTACAATCTGAGTGTCACACATCCAACATCCTTCACTGAAGCCTTAAACTGATCCAGATGTCAAAGTATCTAACGGTCACAACAAAATCTGATGCACTTCTAGATTTTATAAAGCAGGTGAGACAGTATCAAACTCAAATCAGTGCAGTGTGAACAGGCTTCATCTGTCATACTGTTAGCAGTGCAGTGTTAGTGCAGTGCTGCTGGAATCGCAGGATGTTGCGTGCGATCCAGTCCACAAGCGGATTGAGGTGTGACTCCTCCAGGATAGACGGCAGGTTCAGCGACTCCTCCTCTGACGTCTCTTTGCTCCAGTGCTGGAGCCGCTGCATCGGATGTAGCGCAGCTCGCTTGCCAAACCTCTTCCTGCGCAGACGGCGGTCCACTAACTTCTGCAGACGCTCAGTGGAAGTCCTGTACTGAACGTGCAGACCGGACAGAACCGGCTTGAATAAATCTACCAAACCTGGAAGAAAAACACCAGCCGAGGATGAATTTACAGATGCAGCATTCTCACTCAAGTTATGACTATAATTTCACCCCTTTATATTTCGCAATTCTGGATTTATTTCTTGCAATTCTAAGTTTATATCTTAAAAATTCTAAGTTTACATCTCACAATTCTACGTTTATGTCTCGCAATTCTAAGTTTACATCTCACAATTCTAACTTTTTTCTCACAATTCTAACTTTTTTTCTCACAATTCTAAGTTTACATCTCACAATTCTAACTTTTTTCTCACAATTCTAAGTTCACATTTTGCAAGTTCTAAGTTTATAACACACAATTCTCGCAATTCTAAGTTAACATCTCACAATTCTAAGCTTATTTCTCGCAATTCTAAGTTTATATCTTGCAAGGTTTACGTTTACATTTCATAAATTTAAGTTTATATCTCAAAATTCTGCGTTTATATCTTGCAATTCTGTTTATATATCGCAATTCTTAAAGATCTAAGTTTACATCTCACACTTCTGATTACATCACGCAATTCTAAGTTCATATCTTGCTACTCTGAGTTTACATCTCACAGTTCTCAGCATTGTGATTGTAAACTCAAAAAGGCAGTTGCTATGGTGATCTGGGTGGTTGTGTGTGCTGTGTCATTGTGAATGTGTGTGTTCCTGTACCTTTTTGTGTGAGATGGTCACAGGTTGCACACACATTATCATGCCACCTGGATCCCGGCAGCACCAGCTGTTCGTCAGTCTTGCATGCGCTGTGAGTAACGCATGCTGCATGCGTCTGCGTGACGTCTGCATAGTGTCCGTCTGCGCAGAGCTCACACACCGTGTCTCTGTGTGGCGTCCCTGCAGACACATCACCAAACATTACACATCAGTCACTGCGATCCACCTTCACATGACTCACTGTTTGAACAAGGCCAGTGCAGACAGTGTGTCTGCGTCCTGACCACAGCCAACAAAAACACAGGCTGTGTGACAAAACTCACTGAGCTTTTAATGACAGTGAACATCAACAGATCACGTAGAGTCATCCTTCAGATGAACTTAACGGTTGCTAAGCAACATGATGCAGATGCACTAACAGGTGTGAGTATCAGCTATTGTGCTGTTGCCCAGCAACCATAAACAAACTACAGTTACACTACTTGTTACATTTTAAATAGGGTAACTTGTAATCTGTAACCTATTACATTTCCAAAGTAACCTTCCCAACACTGTAAATATAAAACAATACATATACAGTTAAACCAAAATTTATTCAGACACCTTCAACATTTCTCACATTATCACAGTTTATTGGCTATAGTTTAGAAAACGGTAATAAAATATGAGAAGAACTCATTCTCAACAAATTCATCTTGATAATGTCAGATAACTTTGATAGAAAGGTATGTAATGAATTCTGTTGAATAGCTGTCAGCTGTTAAATTTAATACACAATTAGATAAAACCAATTTAGCTCAACGAATTACCAAGCAGGGCTTCATTCTGTTCAGTCAGTGGTGTAAAAAGCTCGCATTAGCAAATACATGGTCAGGTCAAAGTGTCTTATAATAATTTTTGGTCCCAATTTAGCTCAACTAATTACCAAGCAGTGCTTCATTCTGTTCAGTCAGTGGTGTAAAAAGCTCGCATTAGCAAATACATGGTCAGGTCAAAGTGTCTTATAATAATTTTTGGTCCCAATTTTTTAATCAATTTTACTGGTTTACTGTATGAATTTTTTTGGGTACAATATGTGACCCTGGAGCACAAAAGCAGTGTTAAGTCGCTGGGGTATATTTGTAGCAATAGCCAACAATACATTGTATGGGTCAAAATTATACAACAATTTCGAAAAATTGACCCTAATGACTGGTTTTGTTCTCCATGTGTCACATTTGTCACAGTTTACTTTATTTTGCTCTCCTCACGTACATGAATGAACTATAGTGTCCTGCACACACTAGTAAGAAAAGATCAAAAGTTGTATAACTGTTGGTTTGTCTGTATATATCTGGTGTCTATAGGCTGGTCACCTGGAGCTTTGACTCCGTGGCCCGGTTTGCAGGCGCTGTGTCTCCTGCAGAAGTGCTGGTCCCAGAAGAACCCCGCCTCACACTCGCACACCGTGTTCACGGTTCCGTTACACGGCTGAACGGCGCGCTGGTGATCGGAGCAGGCGTCGCACCGCAGGCAGTCCGGGATGTAGTTCCAGAACTCCGTGAACAGACCCGGACCACAAGGCGCGCACTCAGTCTGGCGGGAGCGCGTGCAGTGCGCGCGCAGGCGCGTTCCCGGCGGGCACCTGTCACACAGCAGCAGCTGCCCGGTGACCGGATCCGTGCGCCGGTACGAGTGAGCGTCCGCCGCCCAACCGGCTGCACAGAGGACCGGCAGAACCAACGCTGTGAGGAGAAACTACAGAAACGACACACGTGTGTTATATATGTGACCCTGCCTGGAGCACAAAACCATCAGGGTCCATTTTTTGAAATTGAGATGCATGCATCATCTGAAAGCTGAATAAATAATCTTTCCATTGATGTATGGTTTGTTAGGATAGGACAATATTTGAAAATCTGGAATCTGAGGGTGCAAAAAAATCTAAATATTGAGAAAATCATCTTTAAAGTTGTCCAAATGAAGTTCTTAGCAATGCATATTACTAATCAAACATTAAGTTTTAATGTAGGAAATTTACAAAATATCTTCATGGAACGTGATCTTTACTTAATATCCTAATGATTTTTGGCATAAAAGAAAAATGTATAATTTTGACCCATACAATGTATTGTTGGCTATTGCTACAAATATACCCCAGAGACTTAACACTGCTTTTGTGCTGCAGAAAAATACTGCTACAAATAACTAAATGATATGTAGTTAAGATGTTAAGATAAAAGTGTGAGTTGTATAGAGGTCACTCACCATCGCGCGCGCTGCTGTCGGGTTTCATTGATGCGCAGGGACGCACGGTGTTTATATCCTAAAGACACGCCCACAGATCATCACTAACAGATCATCACTAACAGATCATCACTAACCCACTCAACATTACAACCAGAGCAGTGAGTCATTCACCTGCTGCAGCAGAAAACCCCTCAGACTCGAACTGAAAGAGGAACCGAGAGCAGAGAGACCCTTACAACACGCCTAGAATCATCAGCAGAACACCAACTACAACACATCCTTCATCAAACACAGAGGGATAAAACAGAACATAAACACAACTGATTTCACTTCTGAACCGTACATCTCATGATATGATGGTATTGATATGATCTTTTTTTTTTTTTTGCGTAACAGTATGTTTTTCACAGTCATCACCAGATCTTTACAATCTCATAACAAAACACATTTCACAATACAGAAAAAAAACATGATTCTGTTAGAGGAGTTTAGATTTTTTTCATGTGAAATGAATCTTGATGCATGAAAGAGTTTTGTAGTTTTACTGAATTAAATCTTGAGATCTTGTATCATTGATTAGATGGTGGAAATACAAATCTGAACATCTGAAACCGGCCTGTGCTGCTCGGCTGGTTTTAGCTGGTTAGTCAGCTGGTCTCCCAGCGTGACCAGCTGAAGCTGTGGTCAAAACCCCTCTAAAACCACCAGCTGTGGAAAGCCAGCTCAGTCTTAAACCAGGTCAGACCAGTCAACCAGGAAAGGCTGGTTTCAGTTTTCAGTAAGTCATGACGGGTCTTGAAGAAAAAATAGATGACTAAGACTAGTTTATGCCAACAGATATTGCTTCAAATCATATGATATGACATCATGATTTGTGACTATAAAAGAAACTTACAACTGTATTTCATTGTCTGATAAATGAAAATTAATTTCTTTATGAATTCTGCAAACTATCACGAGGTTCCTTCAGTTTTCATATCATCATATTTCTTTAGTGCACTTAAACAGCATAAATATTAACGCTGTTATTAACTGAACTGAAAAAAAACTTAGAATAACCTTAGTTATGAATGGTCACCCCACTCTCACAATAAAAATAAAGTGGATATAAATAATGTCTTTGAGACTATTAGAATATTGTATCATTATGATATTGATCATATCCTGACCATTCACTGTGATTTATTTCTAGCTATTTTTGACAGTAAGAACAGACTCCATTTGTAAATGTTCTGTCTATACAGGTAACACTAGCAGCACTACTAGTTAAGAGCTGTAGTGCCACCTGCAGGCCGATAAACACTGATACAGATGCAGAGATGAAGCAGGTGATGGAAACACACCTGATGTTGAAATGGTCTTTTACTTCTTCGGTTAAACACAAAAGTCACAGTGACTTACATTGTAGTTTTTGCAAGTCAACGGGAATGTGGAACTATTTTACCAACATTCTTCAAAATCTCCTGACAGAAGACGGAAAATCATACAGGTTTGGAATGTTTGGAAGCCAGTTTCCACCACAGAGTAACAACAACAACAACAACAACAAAAGAAGAAGATAATCATGACTTTTTATCTCACAATTCTGACTTTTTTTCTTAGAACTATTAAATGAAATTTCAGAATTATATGAAAAAGTTGTGAGATATAAACTCAGAAATATGAGGAAAAAGTCAAAATCATGAGATACAACCTCAGAAATATGAAAAAAAGTCAGAATTGTGAAATATAAACTCAGAATTATAAGAAAAGTATCAGAATTGCAAAATATAAACTTGGAATATGAGGAAAAAGGTCAGAATTGTGAGATTTAAACTCAAAAATACAAGGAAAAAGTCAGAATTCCTAGATACAAACTCAGAAATATGAGGAAAAAGTCAGAATTTCTAGATATAAACTCAGAAATATGAGGAAAAAGTCAGAATTGTGAGATTTAAACTCGGAAATAGAAGGAAAAAGTCAGAATTGCGAGATATATGAACTCAGATATACGAGGAAAGTCAGAATAGCAAAATATAAACTCAAAATTCAGAGGAAAAAGTCAGAATTGCATGAAACACTCAACAGTCCTATCATTCTACTAAAAGTCACTGACTGTCAGCAGAATGTCTAAAGTGTATAAAGCGTAAGCAGAATAAATGCCAGGACTCTTCCTCAGAATTACAATAAACAAAGGTCAAATTGTGAGACAAATAGTCACAGTTACCTCTTTTTAATCAATTGTGGAAAAAGGCATGAGGGCGAGAAAATGCTGATATTTTTCTTTCCCAGGTGAAACTAACCTTTTACTTCAGTTACAGTCAGCATCTGATATGTCCTTTTACTGGACCTGTCACATGTGTCTAGATATTTCTGTACATCGCTGACTAACAGCAGTGCTTTTTCTGAAAGACTCACATGTCAATCAGCAGCATCTCACACATGGCTATTTTATCATATTCATCGTCACGCATTCTGGATGAACTGAGTCACTAAACATTCAAACACGGTGAAGGAGCATTAATGTGTTTGCTAATAGCTGTTAGATAACCACTGAATCAAAACAGTGAGTCATTGGCGGGTCATTTCCCATTTCAGGGAATTCCGTAAACAGACTCGAGCCATTACACACGAAAAACCTTCTGAGAGCAGAGGTAAGACGATATTAGGGAATCCTTTGTGTTTACATCACAGTCAAACACATGGTAACTAATGAAACTAACCCACTCAGATGAATCAGCCATATAGAAATGCAGAAATACTAACAAACATCAGAAGCAAATGAATTTATGAGACTGTAGCAGCTCTTTTAGTGCAATTGTACAAACGTCCAGCTTCAGCTGGTGCTTCACGTGTCTTTTTGCTGTCAAATATTTACAGATTTTTATCAAGTAAATGTCTAGAATCAAGGTATTCAGATACTACTTGTAGCCTTTCCCCTGATACAAAAACATCTGGCATTGCACTTGAGCTATTTGTTTTGGTTAATAAAAAAACATGCACACACCATTTTAGAAATATTTAACTGTAAACAGCATTGTTCTAACTAAGGTGTTGAATCATAGATTTAGTAAGTCCATTTGCCACTTGTGACGCACTGCTCCCATGTACTGAATATAAATAACAGTGTCCGCACCCATTTAGATATTAATGTCTGGACAAACAGACAGAAAATCATTTATATACAATATAAATGGCAATGGACCCAGAATAGATCCTTGGGGTATACATGTGGATATACGTAAGGCTGTTGATTTATAATACTGTACTTTTGCATAATGTGTTCAAACTGATCAATATAATTCTATCCAATTCAAAGTCTCTGGGAATTTTTTTTTAAACCTATTAATTTAGACATGGGAATTCTGTGTTTAACAGCGTCAAAAGCCTTCTTGAGGTCAAGAAACACCGCTCCAATAACCCCACCATTATCCAATGAAGACTTGACTTTTTCAGTGAAGTAACAGTTGGCCATCTCAGTTGAGAGAAGCCAAATTGCATTGGATGCATGGCAAACAAGCTAGTATTCAACTGATCAGTGATTTGCACAGCATTCATTTCTCTGTAACCTTAGAGACCAAACAGCTATAATTACTAGGAAAGTGAGAATCTCCACTTTTCAATATAGGAACAATAACCGATGACTTCCAAGCAAATGCTGAACAGCAAGCTGTCAAAGGCTTCAGAATGGAAAGGAAACATGTTTTTATTGTGCATTCATGTGTTTATCCAACACTGCATTCATCTGAATCGTTTCCTGAGGATCGGTCATGTGTTTCTACAGGAACACGGATCTGAAACGCGTTCAGGAATCACGCCAATGTTTGCAATTCCTCTTCAGAGAAGTGCGATTCACTTCCTGCGCACGCCAGTCACTCCATTGTGAGGTGTTCTAATACAAATAATGGCCACCTAGAAAACCGTGAGTGCTCCTTGAAAGAGCTTTTAAAAAGCGTTTCGTCGTTTTACTGGAAAAGCCAGATGGGTTTCTTTTTGATTCACTGGAATAATGAGACTCAGAGGAACGGCTGCTTGTGTACTTCTGTTTCTGCATCACGTTCAGGTCTAGTTAAAGTCAGACAGGTCTAAAGAATTTATACTAGATACGTCATCCATGAACTAGCCATAAAACAAAACTGCTTTTGTAAAAGAAAGTGTTTTGATTAGTGAGTCACAGACGTGAAACCCACACACTTAATGACTCATTCATAGAAACAGAAATCACAACATATTCACTCATGTAATAAATCAAAGCAATAAAAGACGTTAATCTCAAATGAATGTTTAGACAGTGCCATCTGAAACTACTTTATAGTCTTGTTCTCCAGTACAAATATTTAGCACAAATCCAGTACTAAACCTGCCAAAAACCAAGATGCATTAACCTTAAAAGCAAAATGATTGAGAAATGTTTTATTTTTATTTAAAAGAAGAAATCTTTTTTAACGCTTTAGAAGAAACAAGTTACATAATCAGAATACTTTTTTCAAGTAACTAGTAACACATTACATTTAAACTTAGAAGAAAATCTTTTCAAATAAGTAACAGTTACTTTGTTTCCATGTGTTGAGTGACAGCTCTGGTGTTGCCATGGTGACAGAAATCAGGAGTAAGTGCAGAGCGTTGTGTGTGAACATGATCTTACTGTAGTTCTAGACTAAATATGAACATGTGTTTACTCAAAAACAGATTCAGTGTTCCTCAAAATCAATACAAACAGTGAAGCCTAAACCAGTGAACCTGTATTGATTAAATGCTAAATACCACAAATATCCTTTATGTATTTAATTAATTAATAATTTAATTATATTTAGTGCTGTCAAATGATTAATCGCGATTAATCACATCCAAAATAAAGTTTTTGTTTACATGTGTGTACTGTGTATATTTATGTATATATAAATACACACAAACATACAGTACATATTTAGAAAATATTAAATATTTATATGCATATAATTTATATTATATATAAATATATTTAATAAACATAACAGATTTTTCGGAAATATAAACATGCATGTGTGTGTATTTATATATACATAATAAATATGCACAGTACACGTAAACAAAAACATTATTTTGGATGCGATTAATTG